GCAGTGATATCACAGTTACTCAAGCCATCACCTGAAGTTGATGCGAACTAACAACTAAAGCATTGGCTTTGAGACAAGAGGCCGCTGCGCTTGACCATGTCGTTAGTGGTAATATGGCAGCTGCGTGGGATACATTACTCTACGCACTTAAACTATCACAGAAAATGACAAGCTTAGACCCTTTAACTCAGTTCAAGTCACTATCTGAGAACCAGAGAACTTCAATGACAGCCCAGAAATTATGTCTTGTAGCCATGTGATGATATCATTGAAAAAAAATCACTTCTTAGAGATTTCAAATTTAATGGGTTAGCTTGTGTAGCTGTAGGTGGCTTTAACAGCTTCTCCTTTTGGCTGGTTGAAATTTGAACTCAAAGGAGGCCTTCAGTTAATAAAGTTGATTGAGATGCCAGAGCTGCAGTGATGGGACAGAGAACCCAGGGGCTTAGGGACAGAAACACTGAGTGGGTTTGCACATGGGACCTGCATACTCACCCCAACTCCAACTACCCTTCACCGGAAGACACTGCCTTCACTGAGTCTTTGAGAAAGGCATACGTGCTAGCACTACCAAAATCCTTGGAAAGCTGTTCTCCTCACAAGATTGTTTTTCAGTGTTTTGAGGCAGGGTCTCACTCTGTAATTCAGGCTGGCCTCAAAATCCTGGTGATCCTCCTGCCTCAGTTGCCCGATTGCTGAAATTATGGGTGATTGTTGAGGTTACCGTGTCCAGATCTCTCCTGGTTTTTTTTTTTTTTTTTTTCAGGGTTTTAACCCATGCCCTTTTTTCATGCGTCGATTGCTGAAATTATGGGTGATTGTTGAGGTTACCGTGTCCAGATCTCTCCTGGTTTTTTTTTTTTTTGTACCAGGGTTTGAACCCAGGACCTTGTTTTCCAGGCAGGCCCAGGGCTGCTGAGCTAAATACCTGGCCCTTTTGCTTATTCTCCCCTATCTTCTCACTACTCTAGCCTCCCACCGAGAGGTGCCATTTCAACTCCTGAATAAGTCTCCTCCTCCTGTCAGGACCTGCATTCCTCCTATTTCCTTTGCCTAAATGGCTCTTCTTCCAAAACCATGCAAAATTAATTTCTTCTCATCCTTCAAGTCTGTTTAAATGTTCCCTTCCCTGACATGAAAGTTTCTACCATAGCCCGCTGCTTCACCTAGTTCCTTCTGGCATCTGCCACTACTTGCAGTTAATGTATCATTTATTTGTCAGTTGCCTCCTCTAGGACTGGAACCAAGGGCAAGGATCATGACTAGCTACCTTGCTGCTTATTTCTCTACATTTAGGCAAAGACCTAAAACGCAGCCCTTTATCTTATATTTGAAAAATGAAGCTGGGTGTGATGGTGCACGCTTGTAATCCCAGCACTGAGGGAGGGAGAAGCAGGGATTCGCAGGTACAAATTCTACCTGGGCAGTTTAGCTAGCGAGGACTTGTTTTACAATTGAAGGGGATCTGAGGATGTTGCTCAGTAGTGGAGCCCTTCCTGGGTTCGATCTCCAGTATCAATCAATCAATCGACCAATGGAAAAAAGAAAGAAAAATTAATAGGCAAAGGCAGCAACACTCGTTCTGGGACATGAGGGCAACAAAGAAGGTGAAGACCAATCTCACAAATTAATTCCAGTTTTTTGGGGGAGATCGAGCTCGGGTTCTCGTGCTTACGAAGCAGGTGGCAGAACCACTGAGCCAAATGTAAAACTTGAGTAGGCTAAAGTGACTCCATGCTAATAGGCCAGACTGTGCTTCTTCATATGCTAATTGCTACCTTGGTTAACAGCCCACCCAAGGGGCAAATGGTTTGACAAAAGGTGACCCTAGAACATTTCCTGCATAAGATAAGCAATGTGTTTGCAGTCTTGTTCTGTGAATTCCCTGACTCTTTGTTTAGAAAAACCTTATAAAAAGTACCTCAGCCCCTGAGCAGTTGCCTCTCTGAGCCACCTGGCTCCGGGAGTGCCGTCTGGCCAGACTAATAAAGGTCTTTTACCATCTAGGCTGGTGTGTTCCTTCCTGGGTTTCTCGGTTCTCTGTCGTGTTCGCGGAGCCTCGCTGGGTGTTAGGGCCCAGCATCATGGAGGCCTTTCGGCTGTTCACGCTCCGTGGAGTGGAAGTGAGACTTTAGGTCTTACACAAACCCCCAGCCCCCACCTGTGGTTAACATTTCCCCGCCTTCTGCCCGTCATGCATCACTCAAAGCCAAGACCCCTCCTCACACTACCCAGCCGGAGTTTCCCTAGCTCCCCAGCAAAGGCCCACAGTCTCCTTTCCAGCCCCCACCGAACGGCTGGGGCTGCACCCACATCTATTTCCTAGCAGGGTACACCCAGCTCCCAGGAGCCCCGGGGAGGTTCGGGATTCCCGCGGCGCCGGAGACCCGCAAAGCCGTGCTAGGGACGAATGTGACTGTACGGAGCCGGAAGTGACCCAGACCCAAGGACAGCAGGAGGTTCGGCTTCTCAGTGGTGGACCTGGGAAGTCGGCAGCTGAGCGAGGCTGACTCTGAGCGTTTGAGAATTGGCAGTAACACGTGGCATCCAGATCCCAGCCCTCTGGTTCCTCGTGTTAACCACAGCCGGGGGAAAGAAATCTGAACAGCTCAAAGCCGGAACCTCCGGCCGTTACCCAGGCAACCGTGTGGCTTGGGGCGGTGGAAGGAGAATGGAGGATGTGAGCACAAATGGCAGCCGTGATTGGTCGACTGTGCTGAAATGCTGACATTTGATTAGCCGAGGGAAGCTTGAGGGCGGGGCCTCCGGTTACGGCCCTTTCGGGGTTTCCTTTGAGGGTAGGTGGGGCTGTCCTGGCCTCTCCCAGGAGCTCAGAGGAGCTGTGAGGTCTAGCCAGGGCTAGCTGGGCCCTGAGCATTGGACACAGAAAAGGGTTGGAAAGCCAACATGGACTGTTCCCTTTGCCCTCATCCTCAGCTTGACCGCACAGGTCAGCAGTAAACCAGTCAGGTCAAATTTTGCTATGGCAGAGAGACTAGGCTATAAGATGTGAGCGCAAGCCAGGCCAAGCCTGGCCTCCTCACCCTCTGCCCTGCCACCAAGACCCTTCCCTAGCTTTTCTCACCTAGCCTCCCACCCCTCGATGACGTCCTACCACTCACCAAATTATAAGCACCCTCAGTCTGACCTTCGAAGACCTTCCACAACATACTCCCTACTTTCTCACAGCTTACTTGCTCCTGTCAAATATTTTCCAAAATGCCACATTCCTTTTTTTCTTTTTTCTTTTTTTTTTTTTTGAGACAGGGTCTCACTGTGTAGTTGAGACTGACCTGGAACTCACTTATGTAGACCAGGCTGGTCTCGAACTCACAGCGATCCTCCTGCCTCAGCCTCCCGAGTGCTGGGATTACAGACGTGTGCCACCACATCCAGCCCACATTCCACTCTTAACATGCTCTTGCCAGATGTCTCAGTGGTGGCCTCTGATCTCCAGGCACAAGCAGACAGAACCCAATGGAGGTGATCTCCAAGTACAATCCATGAGGCCCTCTGAACCGTATTCCTCTGTACTCTGACATGAAAGGGGAGACATTTCTCCTGGTCACTGTGATCTGAGGTTCCCAGAGGCCAGAGTGAAGTCTATGACTTCCTGGATGACAGGACAGCCCTCTGACTGGCTCAAGTCCTGACATTTGGCCCCAGCACAATGCCCATATGACCCGAGGAACTGAAACCGAAGCAGGCACTACTCAGAGTCCAGGGGACTCATCCGTGCCTTCATGGCAAGTGATTATAGCTCCAGTGTCATTTGAACAAATTTCCTTCCTACCTGTCTCCCTCCATTAGAAAACAAACTCCCTGAGAGCAACCTGTCTTGAAGTGAGAGCCCCTTCATCCCATTATACTCAACAAGAGAAATCCCACTTCTGGCCGAGTGACTAAAGACAAGAGGACAAACCGAAGGAAGCATCAAGGTCTTCTTACAGGATAAACAAACAGTCCAGGATCTGACATCAATTTCCAGTTATCCAGTTTTGAGAATTTAGAGAAGTGACTGGAATTCTCTCTTGTCCTGTTTCCTCAGCTATAAAACAGATGATAAAACTCAAGTCATATACAGAGGCTTGGCCCCACGCTGGCAGAGCAGCTGCTTAACAGCTGGCAGTTGTTAACACTTCTCAAGCAGCCATACTCCCGAAGCCGCTGCACCCCTCAGAAGCTGAGAGCCAACCAGGGCCGCAGTCACCCACCTGTTCCAGCTGGGGTCTCCGTGGCCTCCCAATGCAGAATGTGGACAATTGGTCCATGTTAACTTAGCAGTTGAGCCACCACCATATGGGATTAGCAGGCTTAACCTACTCCTCCCTGGTGGGGGGCAAAGTAGACAATGGGAAATAAAAGCTACAGAGGTTAAAAACCAGGAGAATACCAGAACTAAAGAGAGCCAGGCAGGGATAAGTAGGGCAAATTGTAAAGGACGTACACCTTAGGGCAAAGAGGAGAGAAGCAGCAACAGTGGCGGTAGCTGCAGAAGGATTCAGGAGGCAAAGCGGTCCCTAGTCAGGGAGGAATCCTAACTACTGCACAGACAGCACCTGGTACAAGCAGATGGAAAAAGGCCAGCTGCAAAATTCAACCCTGTGCCTAAGGCAGGAAATTGAACAGCAGCTGCCAAGCTGGCTCTGCCCTGCTCCTTGCTCCCAGAGAGAAAGCCCAGGGCACAATGAGCAGCAAGTGTCCTTGGAACTTGAGGGCAGCGGCAGCAGCCAGTCCCACCGAAGGTCTACACTTTGAGAAGGGACTGGCTGGCTTCAGGCTCAGAAATCTGTACTCAGAGGCACTGGTTTATAGATTCCACTCTTCTGGAATGAGCCTATGGCTAAAGGAACCTCAAGCCAAGGCTAGGAAGGAGGCAGACATGGTGGCGCATGCCTGTAATACTGGCTCTCTGAGGCTGAGGCAGAAGGATCGCAAGCTCAAGCCCAGCCTGGGCAACTCAGCAAGATCCTGGCTCAAAATAAAAAGGGCTGGGGATGTATCTCAGTGCTGAGTTCAACCCTCAGCACCACAGAACCAAAACCAAACAAACAAAAAAGGAAGGCTTTGGAGGAGGGGGTGCCCCAGCCCAGGGTGGTGACTCGGGGATGGCGACACACAGCTGGCCCGGCCCCCTCTCCCACCACGCTCAGGGGGTCAGCACCAGCGCCCGAGACAGAGGCTTAGGCCACAGCCGACATTCTAAGGCCTTTAATTTTTGGCTAGAGGCACGCTGCACCGTCTCACCTCCCACGATGCCATTCCCCACCCCACACCTGCACCTCCCCAGAGCTCATCCCTCGCCCCGCCGCTCCCCACGCCAAGGCCCTGGCCCTCACTTCAGTGGGCCTGCCCCGCTGCCCCTCTCTTCCTACCAAGCTAGGTGGGGGCGGGTGGGGGTGCGGCCAGAGTCCCCGCGGCCGCTGCCCCCAACATGAGCACAGCCAGCGCCTTGGGCCCGCTGCTGTGTATCTTCTCGTGGCGGTGCAAGTTGGAGCGGCGGCTGAAGCTCTTGCCGCACAGGGGGCAGGCATAGGGCCGCACGCCGCGGTGCGTGCGCTGGTGGGCGGTGAGGTGCGAGCTGTGGCCGAAGCTCTTGCCGCAGTCGAGGCAGTGGTAGGGCTTCTCGCCTGTGTGCGTGCGGTTGTGCGCTATGAGGTTGGAGCGCTGGCTGAAGCACTTGCCACACTCGGGGCACGGGTAGGGCTTCAGGCCCGTGTGCGTGCGCTGGTGCGTGACCAAGGCTGAGCTCTGCGAGAAGCACTTGCCGCAGATGGGGCACTTGTGCGGCTTGGCGCCCGTGTGCGTGCCCTGGTGCGTGACCAGGTCCGAGCGGCGGGTGAAGCGCTTGGCGCAGCGGTCGCACACGTAGGGCTTCTCGCCGGTGTGGATGCGCTGGTGCTGGATCAGCGTGGAGTGGTGGCTGAAGCTCTTCCAGCAAGAGGGGCAGGTGTAGGGCTTCTCGCCTGTGTGTATGATCTGGTGTTGGATGAGGTGCGAGCTGCGGCTGAAGCGCTTGCCGCAGTCCGTGCAGGCGTAGGGCTTCTCTCCGGTGTGCGTGCGCCGGTGCGTGACCAGGTGTGACTGCCAGCTGAAGCCCTTGCCGCACTGCTCGCACTGATAGCTCCTCTTTCCCACCTCGCCATCAGCGGCCAGACCCTCACCGCTCGCAGGGGCGCCCTTCCCCTCTTCACTGGGGTTCTCTGGGATGCAGCCCTCCAGGGCCTTTGGGGTGCGGGTGTTAGGCAAGGTTAGCGCGGGCCGTCTCGCTTCCCCGGGAGTCGGCCGCCCAGCGTCTCTGGCGGACCCCGCATTCTGGTCGCTGGTGACTTGCTGCCTGCACTGGGGGACCTGCCCTGCGACCCACCCTGTCCTGAAGAAGGGCTTCACGTCCCCAAGGGCTACCACAGACTCTGCTGGAGCCTCCTTCCCCACCTCCACAGCTCCTGAGGAAAGAAAGGAGTTCTAAGGATACAAGCTTCTCTCTGGAAGGACTCCAGGGGTGGGGAGGAAGAGCCAAGGCCCAGGGGCTGAATTCTGGGAACAGGAAAGGCCCATGGGCACCCAGAGAGGAAAGAACCATTCTCCAGAGAGGGATCTGACCGTCCTGCACACACAGGGAGCCCCCAAGGACTGGCAGTGCCCACACCATCCCTCAGACCGAGGCACCTGCCAAGGCCCTCACCTGAGCCAGGGTCGCTCTCCTCCTCCTTGGCTCCTGTCCGCCTGCTGGAGCTCGAGGTCTCAACCTTCCCAGGCACTTGTGGGGCCCAGAAAGGCCCGCTGAAGGGAGATCCTGCCCAGAAAGAGGCCGCGCTCATCATGGGACTTCCCAGGCGGTCCCCACCAGCAGACATCATTCCCCCAAAAGGAGGACATGAGGCTCCGGGAAGCGTGGGCAAAACACACCCAATAACTGCCCTGCCTCCGTGGTGTATGCCTGTGATTCCAGCACTCAGGAGGCCGAGGCGTGAGAATCACAAGTTCAAAGCCAGCCTGGGCAATTTATTGAGACCCTGTTTTGAAATTTTCAAAATAAGGCTGGGCGTGTAGTTCAGTGGTGGAGTATTTGCACTTAACATGAAGGAAGCTCTAGGTAGATGCTCAGCATTTAAAAAAAAATTCTTGGGCTGAGGATTTAGCTCAGTGGTGCTGTGCTTGACTCACAAGCACAAGGTCTTGAGTTCAACCCCCGGTACCACAAAATAAATAAATAATAAAATTAAAATTAAAATTATTGTAAAATTATTTTGTACCACAAAATAAATAAATAATAAAATTAAAATTAAAATTATTTTTAAAAATTATTTTGAGACAGCATATGCCCTTTTAGGGAAACAGCCAGCTCTACCCTTCCCAGTGGTGAGCTGGCCCTGACTCCTATTTCCCTGCACAAGCCACAGATCTCTGGGGGAGGAGCAGAGCTGAACCAGGCGTGGGCTCTCCCTCTTCAGTCTAACAGCGCAGTAGGAAGTGGGAAGAACAGTCCTATGCCTGCTCTTGCACGGGGAACGGGGACAAGTAACAGGCCCAGGACAAGAGGCTGGGAACACTGACAGCCAAGTAGTCAGGACCAAAGGATCATGTGCTGAGTCCCTGGGGTGAGAGGCCCTGGAATTCTGGTCAAGTCAGGAAAAGAACAGAGGAGCCATGGCTTCTATGATCCACGGGAGGAAGGAAAGGAATTCATGGGACCACAGTGGCTTGGTGCTCAGCTCCTTCTGATCCCCTGGGACTTGCCTGGGCTTGTAGTTCTGGCCCCTGGGTGTGTGAAGCCAAACTGAGATAATTGGAGGAGTGAGCTTGGCAGCTGGAGAGGCCAGCAGGGACCTGCGGACCGCCATGGGAGTCAGGGTGCAGCTGCCCGGACTAGCAGGTGTGCCACAGCTGGATGTTGACTGACTGACTGATGACAATGACATCATCAGATCCCGTCAAGAAAACTGGTCTCCAATGGAGGAGTCAAAAGCCTGGAACTTAAATACCTGCCCTCAGAGGACCAAGGCAGCCAAGCCCCACCGAGGAGCACAGGCTCTCCAAGTTCCCAGGGCCGATGTGACACCTCCGGGTCAACTGGGCCTAAGGGATTAGCTGAAGCCACTTCCTTGGCTGAGCAGACCACAGAGCCCAGGGCCAAGCTTTCTGCAGATGCTGGGACCATGAGAAGGGAGAGAGAACTATGGGGACAAATGAGCACTGTGAAAGGACAGAAGAAAAGCAGAACCCAGATCAGTTCTGTCCAGTGGGCAACCACAAACCGTACCTGTTTACACTCAAATCTGAGCCGATCAAAGCTGAATAAAATTAAAAAGGCAGTTGCTTGTTTGTTTTTTGGAACTGGGAATCAAACACAGGACCTTGCGCTTGCAAAGCAGGCAGCGGAACGGCTGAGCTAAATCCCCGGCCCAAAAATTCAATCGCTCTAGCCACATTTCTAGTGCTCAACAGGAAAAGGGCCTTTGGCCACCGCCCTAGGACTGATGCATAATGTAGTTCTATCTTTGTGGAAGCTTCTGCAGAACAATGTGTCTGCAGGAACAAAGAGAAGGAGCTGAGTGCAGGAGCACACACCTGTGACCCCAACACTCCGGGAGGCTCAGGCAGGAGGATCAAGTTTGCGCCCAGGCCAGGCAACGTGGCAACTTAGTAAGACCCTGGTTCAAAATTGAAAAAGGGCTGGAAATGGAGCTCAGTGCGAAGGCCCTGGGTTCGATTCTCAATATTCCCCCACCACTACTGGAAAACAAAGGAACAGGGAGGTAACAGCAGGACAGCCCCACCCTCACTCCAGGGCCTCAGGAAGCCAGATGCCCCCACCACCTGTGAGCGCTTACCCAGGGCCAGCCCGTTTTTCTTCTGCAGCACATCCCTGTAGAAGTTCTGTTGTGCATGGTCCAGCCGTCCCCACTCCTCCCGGGAGAGGTACAGAGCCACATCCTCAAAGGTGACAGGCATCTGACATAACACAAAACACCCTATGCCCAGGATACGCATGGACATGGTAGAATGATGATGTGCGCTGAGGCCCTGGCCTCCCAACGTGTCCCCAGGGAGGCCTGCCGACCCAGACCCGACGGTCAGGTGGGACAGCCACACAAGGATGGCCTTTGTCAGGGGAGGTTCAAGAGCAAAGCAGTGTATTCAGGGGCCAAAGCTCAGGATCTCCACACATCTCCCACCCTCATCTCAGCCCCTGGAGGATGAGTCTCAGTCACAGACCCAACTTTCCACTCTCCTCCGCTGTTTCTCCAGCCTCAGCCAAGCCTAACTGTGGGTTCCAGGCTTGGACCAGGATGCTCAGGGGGCCACTCCCACAGCACCTCAGGGACAGTCCTGGACCAGTGGAAAGGTTGGGGCTTCGTGCCCCTTACTTTCCTCCAGCCTTCCTAGCTGGAAGCAGCAGATGCAGGGGCAGGGAAGGGCCCTGCCTCCACCCAGAGACAGGCAGGAGACAGGGCAGAGAGGCCTGAGAGGGACGCTCACCTGGGACCAGGCTGTGAGGAGTGCTGCAGCCATCTGCTGGTCTCTGGTCCTCCCTTCTCGGGAAAGCACAGGGATCCGTGATGAGGAAAGCGCTGTGGGAGGAGAGGGGTCCTTAGGGTGGTCAGCTCCTCCTGCTGTATGCTGCTCCCCAACTGCCTCTCATCCCACTCCCAACCCAATCCAACAAGAGGCTGCAGGAGTGGTCTCAGAGTCAGGTGGATTAGCAGGTGGACTTCTGCGTCCCTTCCCAGATTAAAGCTCTTCAACCCTGCCTTGGCCAAGTTTCTACTCTCCCACAACAGCCTCCCCAAAAAAGCATCTCACTCTCCCATCTCCCTCTCCTACCTCCACCAGGCAGGAAGAGAGCTTTCTCTTTAGAACCGGGACGCAGGGACACCCGACCACATCCACCTGGAGCCCTGTCCTCCTCCGGGGCCCCCTCGGGGACCAGCTCCTCCGGCTCCGACTTGATGTGCCGCGATGCCTGAGCAGCTCCCAAAGGCACCGTCTTCTCCAGCCGAGAAAGCACGTCTTGACAGGGACGGCCCCGACCTGAAATCTAGGAATGACAGCCCCCATCATCAAGGAAGCCAAGGAGAACTGGGAGCCACCCGAAGCTAGAAAGGAGAGGAGGACCCTGCACGAGAACCTTTGCAGGGAGCATGACCCAGCTAGCACCTTGGTCTCCGGGACTGTGAGAGAATGAATCATGGCTGTCTGAAGCCACCAACTCAGTGGTGTGTGTTGCAGCTACAGGAAACACGAACAGCAAGGCTCAGAGATTAGACAACGACCCACAACCACAGAGCTCAGAAGCTTTCGGCAAGCCGTCTCTTTCATCCTGGAGGGCTCCTGGAGAGTTCTCATCACCACCACAGCACAGGAACCAGCTTGAGCCTAGCTTTCCTCACACCTCCTGTCTGTGGTCAGGTCTTGAAAGATCCTCAGCCCGGAGTCAGAATGCGTGGCTGCCAGAGAGCCAGAGCCAGCAATAACCCCAAATGGCGAAGGCCTTTAAGATTCACCTGTTCCTCCGCCTACCCAGAGCATTTATGAGGGCACAGAGGTAGATGAGAAAAGATTCTGGATTAACACAGAGCAGCACAGGTAATTATTATATTCTCACTCTACTGTGCCTGTATGACAGGACCTGACATCAGCAGAGAATGTGGATGTACAAGCTTGTCAGGCGCTCAAGGGACCTGTAACAAGCCATCTTGGAAGGGACACTGAACTTCAGTGGCATTAATGCCAGGTGTGTATGCAGAAACACACTAGGGGGGACAGTACGAGAGGTGCCCTGGCTTTGTGTAGTATGTGATCATTATGTGACGGGCTAACGAGCTGCTCGCAGAAGGCTTCAGCCCATCACTTCCTTCCAGCTTGCCCAGGACCTGGGGAGATGGCTGGCGACTATCCACATGATCCACCTTTTATAGGGGACACACCTGATGACCACACGCCAGGGGACTGGCCCAAGGTCACACACCTGGCCTACAGCTGACTCAGGGTCCTCTGACTCTGGTCCTGGAAACCCTACTTCCCAGGAGGTGGTAATTATACACGTGCACAAACACACAATGCACACACGCATGTGGATACTCACAAACCCACACACAGAGACACCAGACACAGGAAGAACAGGGAGCTGAGACCCAGACGGATGAGGAGATGCGCCCAGGCAGAGCGAGTGCGGAGCCAGTGAGGCTCCCTGTGCACGTGGCGCTGGGCAGATAAAACCTTAGCAGGGACCGGGGATTTAGCTCAGTGTTTTTGCTGCCTGCCTCACAAGCGCAAGGTCCCGAGTTTGATCCCGGATACAAAGAACAAAACAAAACAGACAGACAAACAAAACGTTCCCAGAGGACACCTTCTAAACTCCCCAGTATCTCATGTGCGCACTGACTATAAAGTTCACCAGGTAAAGTGAAAGAGTTACAGCGGAAATGCCAGGTGAAGGGTATTTCCCATCAGGCCTCCCCTCCAACAATCCATACCCAGTACCCCAGTCTCCCGTCCTCCTCAACCAGGGAGTCTAACTCTTCCCTTGGTCCAGACACACACCCACCCCCACCGCATTTTGCTCTGTTCCAACGCGTATATGCTTTCTTCATCTGAAACCCCATCGTACCTCCTGAGCGCGTTCCTTGTTCTCAGCAACAGGGACGCCTCCACCATCCGTAGACATTTTCCGTTTCAGAGCTAGGAAGAACAGCAAGTTGTTCTCCCTACTGCCAGCCAACCCGCCTCTGGCTTCTGGCCAGAAGCCTGGAGAAGCAGAAAGAAATCAGCAAGTGATTCCTGGGCACCTCTAATGTGCCCTGAAAAATCTGCACACCGAAACGGAGCTCTCTGGAAATGAAATCTGTCTCACCTAATCCTATGGTCTCACCTCCAAAGATGGTTTTTATTTCCTCCTTTCGAAAGAATGCTGTAGAGTACTGTCCCCTTTATAGCTGAGGAGCCTCACGTCTCAGGGCTCAAGGACAGCTGGGGGGCTAAATCGAAACCAGTATTTCCTGTCACCAGGAGCAGAAAGTTCTGCAGGGATCCTACAAAATGGGCTGGTGGGGCAGGTCCTTCAGACTGGGGAATCAAAGCCACAGGCCTCAGGACGCACACCCTGTGCCTCGGCCCACCTAGGATACCCATGCAGGATCAACCTGCCTCCCTCTCAGCACTTTGCTCTGCAGCTGCAGCTGCCTCGGGATGTCTGTTGCACTCATGATCCCTGCAGACAATGTCCCTCTCCTTCCCAAACCCAGGTCCAGGCCCTTCCCTCCTGCCAGCCCAAAGCCTTCCACCATGGACCCTGTCCCCCTTTGCAAGCTGGCCACCTGTGCCGGCCTCGGGATCCAGCACCCGCCACAGCACCCCCGTCTCACCAAGGTGGAGGTGGAAGGGGTACCTGGGGCAGCAGGGCCCCTCCCCAGGGAAGGTAGTCTCTGCAGCAAGCACCTAGAAGGCGGGGGAGCCGGGTGGAGACTGGTATTAGGGACAACAGGAAGTCCCTCCCGGATCCCGTTCCCCATGCAGCTGCAGCTCTACAAAGTTCCCAGCTTTGAGAGTTCCGGGTCTGGGGTCCCCAGCCCAGCCAGCACCTGCTCTTGGCTAGTAGATGACTTCTAGATCCGCAATACCAGCTTATGACAACTACTTTCCCAAGCACTTATTCACACTGTAAAGCAGAGGTGCCAAAGAGAAAAATGGAAAGATACGGTTTGGATAAGATTTTTATATTTGATATCTTTCTTTCCTCCTCTCCCCTCCCTCCCTCTTTTTTCTTCAGTACTGGGGGTTAAGCTCAGGGCCTTCTCATTAAGCTACATCCCCAGCCCTTTATTAATTTTGAATTTTGAAACAGGTTCTCACTAAATTGCTAAGTTGCTGTTGAGCCAAGCTTTTGCAAAGTCATTAAATTGCCCAGGCTGGGTTCAAACTTGTCCTCTTCCTGCCTCAGCCTCCCTGAGACTACAGGAATGTCTGACATTTCCAAGAGAGTGCTGCAGTCACCCTCAAAGGTGGGGGACACCTTGCTAGGCAGAGGGGCAGGGCCATTTTAATCAGCACACGGTTATCTCCTGTCTCCTTGAGGCCCCATTATTCATTTAAGCCTCCCCAAATCAGGGGATTTTCTGGCTCCACTCAAGATTGTAATGGAGCCGGGCATGGTGGCGCACACCTGTAATCCCAGCACTTGGGAGGCTGAGGCAGGAGGATCGCTGTGTTTCAGACCAACCTGGACCACATAGTGAGTTCCAGGGCAGTCTCAACTACATAGTGAGACCCTGTCTCAAAACAAACAAAACAACAACATCAAAAAACATATGAAAGAGTATACTGTGTTTTGTTTGGTTTTGGTTTTGGGTTTGGTTTTTTTGAGACAGGGTCTTGCTATGTATTCCATAAAAAAAAAAAAAAAAAAAAAAGACTTACAAAGAGTTTGCTCTCTCTAAGGGCACATTTAGGAAGCAGACTGGGAACTCCCTTGAGCGCCCCCCCCCCACGCCCTACACCTCATAGCTGTGAGATAATCTGATTTTTCTAGAGCCACTTCAACTCAGGGATAGAGGGGAAAGGCCTAATCCAGATATCCATGGGGCCCCAGGCCTTCAGACATCCCTGGAAGCCTCAAAAAAACACTTCTCAGTCTCAGTTTCCCTTCAGATCTTGAACTAAGGCCCAAAGTGGGAAGGACAGTTACTGCATTTTACTTTCCACAGGTAAGGCACAGTACAGATGTCAAGAAAAGAGGGGGTCCCAGCCCTGGGGTTTACTTTCAGGAAGTTTCCTCCAGGAGAAGGTCCTGTGTCTGCCACCTTTAAGGTCCCTCAAGTCCTCCAAGATCCACCACTTAACTCAGCAAGCCTGGCACTATTTTCCCTGTAACAGCTTACAAGATTTTCTTAAAACAACAACAATTTCTGATATTTAAAAATTATCAGAGTTAGGGCTGGGGCTTTAGCTCAGTTGTTCTGGCACCTGCCCAAAGTGCAAGGACCCAAGTTCAATCCCCGGTACCAAAAAAAAAACAACACCTCAAACTATTTGGCAACACTTGGTCCGTATGTTTAACCTTCACAGTCTTTCCACAGTCTACACTTAGTCCCTGGAGCATCTGAGTTTCCGCTCTTAAACATGGTTTATAAGTCTTGGGATTTGGTTTGATTTTACTGTCAACTTGAAGGAAAAAAATTTTTTTCTTTTTGAGACAGGGTCTCACTATGCAGTCCAGGCTGGCCTCAAACTTGCAGTGATCCTCCAGTCTCAGCCTCCTGAGTGCTGAGACTACACGGGGTGCCACCATACCCAGCCCACCCCTGGAGTTTTCTCTAGTTAGTATTTCCAGGTTTTAATCCTCAAGGTGAAGAGCAATGTTCAAAGTTGTAACAAAAGTCAATACTGTTTTTAAGCTACAGCTATAAATCAAAACAAAGTCAGAGAGGTCCTGGCAAATTTAATACTACTGCATCAGGTCTGCCAAGAGGGAGCAGAGCTGAGTACCCAGGGTAAGGGACCTCTCTCCTGGAGAGGACCGTGCCATCCTCACGGTCCCAGGAGGCACCAAGTTAGAAGAACAGAGAATGTGTCCTAACTTCTGGGTGAAAGTTCTTTACCAGGAAAAAGGGCCACTTTAGGGTACTGCTGGGGGTGATCATGAGATCACCAAATGAAGTCTGAGCATTTACTTAGTTGTTCAGAGGTGTGTGTGTGTGTGTGTGTGTGTGTGTGTGTGTGTGTTAGGGATCAAACCCAGGGTATGGTACTAGGAGGTAAGCAGTCTACCACTGAACTACATCCCCAGCTCCTGTTCTGAGAATATTTTTGATCACCTAAGCTTAAGAACAAGAGCAGTTTCTTCCAAGGCTAGCTTTAGAATCTGAGGTCTGGGAGAAAGAGTTACCACAGTTGCTGTGTGGGCACTATCATCCCTGAAAGAGCTCAGAAAAAACCAGGGGAAATTGAGGCAAAAGGTAAAGACAGATCTAAAAAAAAAAAGCAAGCCATGGTGGCACATGTCTGTAATCCCAGCACTTGGGAGGCTGAGGCAGGAGGATCGCTGTGAGTTCGAGACCAGCCTGGACTACATAGTGAATTCAGGTCAGTCTCAACTACACAGTGAGACCCTGTCTCAAAAAACAAAAATAAAAAATGTAGGGCCGGGGATTTAGCTCAGTGGTTCTGCCACCTGCCTGGCAAGTTCAAGGACCGATTTTGATCTCCAGTACCAAAAAAAAAAAAAAAAAAAAAAAAAAAGCAATGCCTCCAGTAGCCTTCCAGGCAGTACCAGGCAGTGCATTCAGCATAAGAAGGGAAGGCAGAGACTTCAGGAGCTTCCAGAAAAACATATTTTCTTTAGAGGGCCACTGGGGATCCAATGTTGCCAAAGTTTCAATATTTTTCAAGAGGAGCCCCAAAATTCAACCGTTAGGGTGGGGACTTAGCTCAGTGGTTCCAGCGCCTGCCTCTCAAGCGGCAAGGGCCTGAGTTCGATCCCCAGTACCAAAACAAACAAAACAAAATTCAACCTTTATATGAAATCGGACTTTTAAACTGATGACAATTTTATAATTGCTGAACTCCACACAAATCCAGGGAGCACCTCAGAGCCTGTCACAGGTACAGTATTAGCTACCACGGATGAAAGCGTTTGGCAGAGTTTGGGGCTTGGGAAACAACCAACGCCAGTTCCATTCCTGGCGGCTTCCCTGAGCTTAAGAAGATGACACCACCTTTAGTAAACAGATTACTAGCTACTCTCGGAGATCATCCTAACAGTTAACTCTAGTTTTAATGACAAAAACTAGAAAGAAGAGTTATCTGAAGCAAGAAGAAAATCACTGGTACTGAGCCAGGCATGGTGGTGCACACCTGTAATCCCAGCACTCAGGAGGCCGGGGCTGGAAGATCACTGCGAATTGGAGGCCAGACTGGGCTAATAAAATAACTGCTAACGAATGAAAGCAGCTGAACTAGGTTGGAGACGAGGGCAACGAAGAGACGTGTGCTAGAGAAGGAAAGAGATGACCATAGGGAGAAAATAAAGGAATGTGACGGAAGTAAAGAGAGTAAGAATAAGCAGCAGAGCAAATCTTAAACAGTGAAGAAACACAGAGAAAGGAAGACAGCAGGGAAGGCAAAGAGGGAGGTCAGGAGGAGAGGGAGGGAAGGAAACCACTGAGCTAAATACCGGCCCTGCAGCAAGTGGGTTTTTGTTGTTGTTGTTGTTTGTTTGTTTGTTTGAGACTATGTAGTCTCAAAATATAGTCTCTATGTACTCGAGAATGACCTGGAACTCACTAGGCAGCCCAGGCTGGTCTCGAACTCACAGCTAACCTCCTGCCTCAGCCTCCCGAGTGCTGGGATTACAGGCGTGCGCCACCACGGGATAAAAAATTTAAAAGAAAAATAAGAACTCCAAGAGGTCGGGGATTTAGCTCAGTTGTCCTAGCGCCTGCCTCGCAAACGCAAGGACCCGAGTTCCATCCCCGGTGCCAAAAAAAAAAAAAACTCCGCCGGAGACTTCCGAGGCCAGAAGGCAACCCTGAAACAAATCCCTTATGAAGTCGATGTGGCCACAGGACCACACATTCCGAGTGGCTGGAGGCTCAGGGGACCTAAACGAACCTGTAAAGTAGCAGCGCTCGGCAGCTCTCAGAACAAGCACGTAAGGAGCGTGTCACCTAGGCAACGTTGTCTCTACGTCCCGCCCACACGTCACGAAGATACCGGTGATTGGCTGTAACACTTGTGGCCCCGACCCACTGAGGCACCACCCAGCTCCCTTCCCTTCCGTGCTCCCGCCCGCGCCAGAAACAGTCTGTGGAGCCGGAAGGCCTGCCCCAGTGCCCGCCGGCTGTGGCTGGTGTCCCCGCGTTTCCTGTCCGGCTGGCTTATGGCGATATCCGGTTTGCCCTGCTCTTTTCCGGCGACCCACCTGTCCCGCCAAAGGGAGAATGGCGGAGCAGCACCCTGGTCCAATAGTCGGCTTCTGCCTGAGGGGGGACTGAGGCAGCCTCCCGGAGTTCCCTTTGTGGAAGAGCGGCGGGGCCGCCTCGTTGCCTGAGACCCAGGTGTCTTAAAGGAGAGCCGAGAACTTGGGCAGTAGTAGCTTAGTGGCACAGCGCTTGCCTGGCATGCAGGAGGTCCTGGGTTCAATCTCCAGCGCCGCTAAAATAAAATAAAATAAAAACGTAATATAAAGTAAGGTATGGAGATACAGTACCCCCTCCTCATAAACTCTCTACTCCTTAGGTGTGAGCTGTACAGGGTGGCTTCCTTTCTAAGAGGAAAGTATGGAATAGGGTGATGTAACTATGATCCTCTGTACAGGAGCCTTGCAGGCCGTCTCGGCCACCTGAGGCACCACACACTGGCTGGCTTTCTTCCCTGGTCCCCATGGTGAGGGATGACCTTTCCCTTTCTGGGAACGAGAACAGTCCCTCTCCAAATGACAAGAGTCATCTGGGTTCTGATAAGTCCAGCAGGGGCCAGGTGGTTTCCACGGGCGC